GCATGCACTCGAAGCTAAAGAAGTACCAATGCAAAGTCCACATGTAAATAGTTAGCCAACACCTAACAGAGGACCTGGCACACAGGGGTGACCTAAAAAAATGATTGTGGACTACAAGACCTCAAATATGTTAAGTACATCCAAGTGTAGGGGGGAAAAATAAAAAGAAATACTTTAAATAGTAGAATGCACTTTTGTGTTCAGATATATTTATTTCACTCCATAACTAATGTACAAACAATACTACCTCTAAACCTAATAACCCTTTTTATGCTTCTTTAAGGGAAAATACAAAAAGGTGCAATATCAGAAAAAAGAAATGATCTTTTTAAAAAAGTATTGGTTTCTGGGGGTGCATGAAATCACACACAATTATAAAAGAGTATAATATGTAACATATATAATAATCACATTCTTACATAATCATCTGTTATAATAGAAACAACTAAAATATAGGAAAAGGAATGTCATCCCCAATAATGTTCAGATAGCCATAATGTAGTGAATTTTCTTGTAATCATTTTTCTCTTTCTTTCTTTCTTTTTTTTTTTAAGATTTATTTATTTTATTCATACAAAACTGGGGCAGAGGCCAGAAATGCGGAGGGTGAGAAGATTCACCAGAGACAGAGTGGGGAGCAGAACAGGCAGATCAACGAAGTACACTGCTGAGGGGAGCAGTGGGCGGGTCCAGAGAGGTCTGCCACGCTATGTGGATCTCCTCCGGGGCAGGCGGGGATCGAACTCATGCGGAAGTGGCTTAGGTTTCTTAGTGCAGTGCTTTAACCCGCTGTGCCACCAGGGAGGGCCCATAATCATTTTTCTTTGTAAAGTTTTTATTAGTTTTTACATGCTGTGGTCATACCGTATGAATACTTTGGATCTGCTTTTTCAATAAACAACATTAATGAGATGTGCTGGAGATCTGCTGTACAGCTAAGAGACTATCAAACTCAAAACTAAACACTATATACAAGAAAGGAATCCTGACCTTCACTCAATCTCCAAGTTCCCTTCATTCATTTAGCAGAAGCTGACTTTTTGTCTTTTTGTGCCATAGCAGTCCTGGGGGCTACTAGTAATAAGAAAGGTTTTATTTTTTTCCTTTTCTTCAAGGAGTTCTCATCTCAGCAACTAACCTTTGCCTTCATGAAAATACAGATTTACCTATATAAGTTTCAAATTTCTGAAATAAATGCATGAAATTTGGCTATTTCTAGCTTTGCTCTTTTGAAAATTGGCATAAACACAAGGGTTCATCACAGACAAAAGTTTTCCATGTCATATCCTATAAATGAGTTACAATTTCTTTTTTTATATATAATAGTTTATTTTTACATCATTTTGTGCATTTTTTCATCTCAGTTGTAATCCCCATGGAAGAATTACAATTTTTAAACTCATTCTAGATGCATATTTTCCAACATTTATTGCAATTAGTACTTTTACTGGTCTTGATCACTTGTGTTTCAGTAACCAATAATAAGAACTTCAATTTCCTCAAAATGTGGCTTTTTAGATTATTCATCATACCTCTCCCCACCCTGCATATTCGCATGGTACATTTGTGTGCTGACAGATAAATCACTGTCTACCAATTAAGTAGATGTTGTAAAGTGAATACTTCAATAAGCACAGGTGCTTATATCCAAATATGCAGTGATCCACTTGCACCTGGAGCTATTTGCATTCTATACACAAACATCAGCAACTATATCTGACTTTACTTCTCTGAAAAAAATTAAAGCACTTCTAGTTGTCAGTTTTCTTTGCTACCTTTCAGTTTAAGTCTAGTTATTTAAAGTCTGGTGTTTCAAGGTATGAAATAAGAGAAAAAACAAGGTACTGAGTCATAATTTCAAACCTTCCTCAGTGGAGTGAGTGGGAGCAAAGGAGCACTGAACAGTGAAGGATCTGCAACAACCGTCAGAAAGTCTGTTCTCTAGCTGAGACTCCACCATTTACTAATGATGTGAATGTTAGCACATTTTCACTAATGAGAGCCTTAGCTTTCTTACCCATAACATAGAGGTGGTGACTGTCTCACCATACTTACTTGCTGCATTATTGCAGCAAAGCAAATACTACAACAAACCAAGTATAAAACACTATATAAAATGTTAGGAACTAGGACTAAGGATCATTAATTTATTCTGCTTCCTGAAAAATGAAATATAATCAAGTTTTATTTTTGGAAAGGCACTGTTCCCTTCCATTTATTTCTAAGAAAGATATTTTTCAGAGACAGCACCTGCAATTTATTGAAAGGGGTGCTGCTATTATCAAGGAGCTGCTGGCAGAAACTCTAGAGACATGTTTAGGAAACAGAAAAAGAGAACTAGGACAGCAAAACAAATTGGACAGTAATTTGAGTTCCTCTTATTTTGAGACTGGATTCAATGCGGAGACATGCCTAATCTCTGTCATTCTACAGTGAGGGTTTAAAAGTTGCCATGATATCTGTCTTTTAGGGTAGTCCAATAATTCTGACTTCAAAGTTGTTTCAGGGTCTAAGTTATGAAAGAGTCACTAATGGTTTTAACCCTTAGAGACATGTTTTGTTTGCCAATGTTTTTCCATTACTGAAGATTACCTTAGTTAGGTCCCTAATGACATTTGTTAGTATCTGACATCCAAGAAGCAGAAATCTGAAATATTAACGGAAAATAACATGGTAAAGCAGTCACTATCTCGAAAGATCTAAAAAAGAATAAAAAAACGATACCTAGAAAATGTTAAATTTTGCTACTACCCTATAGGAATTACACATGCTTTATCATAACTGTTGGGAAATTTTACTACCTAAACTAGAACATATACTGAGTTGGGGAATCTGTTTTACTGTGCTTATTTTGATCTGTAAATGCACTGCCAAAAATTTTACTGTCAGATTCCCAAGACACTATGAATCTACAGCTGTAATATGGTTCCTCCCGACTAAACTGAACACATAGCAGCTGCTACCCTAGTCGAAATACCTATTATGAGAATGTCATAAAATATGTTCTTTTGAACACTTTGCTTCTTTTTATCCCACTTAAGTCTCTTACTAGCACATAACAGTCTGTCTCCCTTTCTTCTAGACACCTCTCTTTTCTATATCATACTATTCCATTATGTAGCCGTGCCATAGATTTTTTCAAATACTTTCTAATTGCTGGCCAACTGACTGTTTTCAAATCTTGTTATTACATACAATGGTTCAATGAATAACTTTGTTCATTTGAGTTTATCTATCCACAGAACAGATTTCTAAAATTGATGCTTGGTCAAAGGGAAAAAATGTTATCTGTCATTTTGGTAGATACCACCAGTTTCTGCTCTACAGGAATTATGCCATTTCGCATTCCCACCAAATATGTGAATACTGATTTCCTGAATACCATTTATTAAACCACACATGCCTGCTTCCTGCCCCAGCTGAAACTCCCCCCACCCCCCCAAATTTTAATTCAATAGATAGGCCCAACAGCACATGCCTGGGTGAGAACCCAACTCTAAAAGGTATTCTATTGTTCAAATCCAAAAGAAAATCAGTTAAATCTTTAAACTCCAAATTTTCTGCTCCACATCACTCATGTAATAAATACAGTCTGAGTGACTACCATGTGCTTATTGGGTACTCTAGATATAATGAGGGTAAAAAGATATATGATACTGTCACCGAGGGTCTAACTATGACAGACATAGATATATAATTAAGAGACAATACATAAGCATGGTGTTAGAAACTTATGTGGAGTTTTATAGGGATACTGCAGAGAGATATTTCACCCTAACAGGAATACCAGAGGAACCTTCTCAGAGGAGGCGCTTCTGAAACTGAGTAGGAATGAATCTACTCAGTGAAGTAGAGAGGGTATGCAAAAAAGGTAAACAACAACACAAGCAAAGCAGAAGAGAAAGAAACAGAGGGATATACATGTAAATGGAAACATTTCACAAGGGAGAGAAGTGAAGAATAGGTTGCAAAAGTAGATAGCTTTCAGATCCCGCAGCATCTAGTATGTCATTAAGAAGTCCACACAAAGACTGGTAGTGAAAATGAGGAGACTGTTTCAGATATATGGACAGTGTTGTGGAATGGCTCATAACTGAAACAGGAAGTACAATTAAGAAACTTGGTGCAATAATCCAGGTGAACACTTGAAATGAAACAGGAGTTAAGGAGAGGGGGCTGTAGACATTAAATGTGGGGGTAGAAGCAAACAGAAGAATGATTTCAAGGCGATTATCAAACCACTTCCAGCAAAGCACTGGATTTAAGCTGTTTCTCAACAGCCATGACAGGTTGATACTGATTCAGTCATGCTCTCTTACCTGGTCTTGACACATGTGAGGCCAATCATAGATGTATAGGGCCCAGCAAAAAACAGGCAGAAATGGTGATTTTTCTCTTTTAGTATCATGCTCTAATCAACTAAATAAAGCAACCATAAGCAACCCCAACAGGCAAACATAACAGTTCATGGTAGTATCTATGATGCTCTCATCTCTTAGAATAACTCCTCTACTGCTGAATCTCTTGACTCCATTCTCCGAGACAACTGCTAACCACATGAATACTGTCAGGAGGGGAATGATGTATGGCCGCGGGCAGCAGCACACATAGCTGCTTCCCCAAAACTTAACCCCAAATCAGCTTTACAGTAATGTCAAGCTTTACAATGTCAACAATGCATTTAGGGCAGCATGCAGTTCTGTCACCAAATGCAGTCAATCTCTGGAGTTGGAAAAATCTGGGGAGAAAATCTGCTCTGAACCATTCCCATTCCCCTGGTTTTATACAAGAATAATGGTTCAGCAAGGATGAAGCAGGAGGGAATTGTGCAAAACCCATATTCAACCTGGTCCTTGTCTCTCAGAACTTTTCTAAAATATAAGCTAAAGGAAAACCAGTAACAAATCAACAGCCATCAGAAGAAAGTAAGTACACTGCATAGAAAGCACATGACTGAAACACACACACAATCTCTCACACCAGTATCACTATAGGCTTACCTTTCTTTTATCTTCATCTGTTGATTCAAATTTGAAAGTAGCCCTATGCTGAGAGGAGGAAAAAGAAGGAGAACAGCGTCATTTAAATATACAGATTTTAAGTTGGGGCTATCTTTAAAAATTCATACTGTGCAAAAATGTTGCCTTCCCATACCACATTTCAATATTATTAAAGTAAGAGACAGGCATGTAAACTAATAATCATAATGCAGTAAGGAAAGACAATAGCAGAAATATAAATGTCACAGAGGACCATGTCACATCTAACCAGAGAAATCTGGAATGAGTATAGAGCATTTGACCTGGATCTTGAAGGATGAATAGCAGTTTGCCCAGAGGTGATTGGAAAGCATTTTAGGGACAGAAGTAAAGGCTCAGATGTGCACAACAGTGCATTTGTGAAATAAATAATTCTGTCAGAGCAAAACATAGGACACACGTTAGGAGGTGGGAAAACCAGAAAAAGATGAGAATGGAAAAAGAGACTGTTCAGATATTTGGAAGCCTCCATCAGTGTTGCCAAGATGTCTGTCGTTTCCCTTCCATACACAGTAAGAAATCATCAGAGAACTGTGGATAGAGACTTGATACTGGCACTGTGGAAAGGTAGTTTGCTGAGAATGAGAGTTTAAGTGATGGCTCTGCCACTTATTAACTGTGACCTTGAGCAAGTAACAAAACTATACCTGGATTTCTCATGTGCAAACAGGGGGTACCTAGTTTACACAGCTGCTGTGAGGGCTCAAAGATCTAAGGCATGTACCATCTCCATATCTGGCACACAGTAAACACTCTGTAAATATTACCGTTATGATGATTATGGTGATGCCAATGATCTTGTGGGGAAAATAACTGGAAGAGTGCATCATGACTCTCCTGAAACATTTCATTGTGACCCACTGTCACAGTGATCGCTCCCCCAAAATTAAGAGTACAAAATTCCCCATTTTCATTTCAAGTTTCATTCAGGGGAACTAAGAACTCTTTAGAACAAAAGTATTCCTTTGAAAAATCCCCCATAGCCATCTCTGTCTTGATTTTGTATTTCTCTCCTTGGTCACACTGATATTTAATGGCAATACCCCAGGAGTAAATCCAGTTAAGGGTTAAAAGTATCACCATTAGAGATGGTTCTATGTTGACAGCTGTGCAGAAGAAACAACTTTTGAAATGAAATGAAAAATACTGACAGAACAGCAGTTGTGACTGTCAGTAATGGTCAGAAGTATGAGGAGAAGTATGATTTAGAGGTTAAGAGGAAGGGTCCTTCGAGGAAACCTAAGAGAGTCTGTCACACATGGTTTACAAAACAGTTAAAAGGGATGAGTCCAGAGGTAAGGGCTGGATTTAAAAACGTCCACCTTAACTGGCAGACAGGTGAAAGCCAGTCAGGAGAAGACTGGAAGGGAGGTGTGAACACCAGCAGAGTATACTGAAGAGTATTTGGGGCAGCAGCTTACAGGCAGGTCAAAGGAAAGCAAGACTGAGGACATGAAGCTCTCGGATGTGTATCAATAACCCATTTGTGATACTGCTGACAGCAGTATAAATTGACACTTTAAAAGGGAATGTGATTTGGCAACAACTACTAAAACCATAAAAATAGTCATACCCTTTGACCCAGAACTTCTACTCCTAGGAATTTATCTTAATAAAGTCACCCAGAAGGAGAGAAAAATTATACATGCAAACATGTTCACTGTAGTCTTATCTCATGAAAGAAAAGAGTCATCCTAAGTGTTCAACAACATAAGATTAATGAAATTAATGGCTGTGCACACACCTGACAGATTATCATATTGTAATTTTTTAAAAAGACAGCTAAACAGTTAACATCATGAAAAATTACTTATGATGGCATTGAGTGGGAAAATACCAGAACATCAGCTTACATGGCTATGATAACAGTATCTATGTAAATATATGGATGCGTTTGAACAATGGTTTGTGTTAAAATGCAAAAACAGAAGCCAGTGTACAGGGATGGCGAGATTTCTGGTTATTTCTTTAACAAAACTAATTCTTGGTATATTATTTTTATAATTAAAAAGGAAATAGGAAAAATTTTAATAAAAGTAAATGAATTAATAGGTTCATTAACAAGGAAACTGAGAAGGAAAATGAGGGAGGAAGAAATAACAAGTTGTAAATCTGTAGGCTGTAACTTTGAAATTTATAGACCAGAGGTTTAGTAAAAACTGACATTAGAGAAATGATAAAGCACCACCAGATATCAGCCTAAGGCTGTAAAATGAAGTTGTGAATATAATGATTCTTCCAATATCTCTTGGGCATTTATGGTAAGGGAACAGAAAAAGAAGTCTCTTTAGAAAAGCCCTCAATAAGTCACAAAAGTATTTTTAAACAGTTTTTACACAGAAATCTTACACTTACTAGTCTTTTAAGGTGATTATTTTAGAAAAGTGCCAAGGACTAATTTTTCTTTTGCTTTTTAAAGGCAAAGCTGATCCTGTCAAAAAACAACATTAAAAAAGAAAAGCTTACCAAGCCCTGTCTAGCTAGCATGAGGGCTTAATTTAAATAGAAAATATGCTGGTATGTGAGGCAATACACACAGAATTTTGGATATGCCTATTTAGAACCTCAGCCCTCTAAGACTGGATCTGAAGATGTTGGCTTCTCTAAGACTGGCTTTTCTTAATCTGACTTAGATCACAACTAACCTACTCCTTACCTCCAATCTTTACAATCTCCATTTTCTAAGACCAAAAGGTAAGCAAGGGGGAGCTAGCATTTCTGCCTGCAAACACCTTTCTACACTTCTAGCCAAGTCAACTATCTCACCTTTATGAACTTAATTTCCAAACAGGAGCAACAAATCAACTAAACCATTGTTCAATTTAGAGAACAAGGAAGTGAGGAAAGGTTCTGAGACATATCATGTTCACATGAGGGCCCTTGCTATAGACTTTACTTATCTTGATGAATAGCTCCCAAAAAAACTCAGCCTCAGGAATCAGACAGCAACCGGGTTTGAGTCCAGTCCCACTATCTACTAAAACTATAACCTTGGGTCAAGTTATTCAGCTTTACTGGCCAACAGTTTCCCATTATGTATATAGCCCCTTGCACAGGGCTGGTGTTCAGAGTGGCCACCTCAGTTATCAATGCACGGCCTATGATGCAGCATCTGCCCAAATACTGAACTGTTAAAAGAATGAGCTGTTATTCCAGAATGCCAAAGATATAATAAAGCAGCACCAAGACAAGGGAATTAACCAAATATGTGTGTGTTTGTGTGTCTGTGGTGTTTCACTACTTCTAGAACTAAGCACCAATATCTGAGATTATATAATCTAGTCCAGAAAGAGGAACAAGGTGTAACCAAGGAAAAACCTACTACATACACTCCTCTCCAAAAATCCGTAGAATGAACTAAAAAATATCAAAATGCAATCTCTTTTTTTTTTTAAAGATTTATTTATTCATATAGAACTGGGGTACAGGCCAGAGACGCGGAGGGTGAGAGGATTCACCAGAGACAGAGTGGGGAGCAGAACAGGCAGATCGACGAAGTACACTGCTGAGGGGAGCAGTGGGCGGGTCAGGAGAGGTCTGCCACGCCATGTGGATCTCCTCCTGGGCAGGCAGGGATCGAACTCATGCGGAAGTGGCCTAAGCTTCTTAGCGCAGTGCTTTAACCCGCTGCGCCACCAGGGAGGGCCCCAAAATGCAATCTCAAAGAGGAAAGCAAAAAAGTCTGCTTACATGATTGAGGATATGTATACACCCTATTTAAATGTGGAGGCTATACAGCTAGAACTATCCCAGTATTAGGTCTTCTAGCACATAAATGAGGACCTCAGGGCTATCGGTATGATTTCCTCTCTTATAAGGACTACTCTTGGAAGCTCACTCATCTACCTGCGTCTCAAATAAACTTTATTTTCATTTGGTCATAAACTTGTCATACCTCCAAAATGGAATCCTGCTAGAACTTGCTATGGAACAATCTCAAAGCCCAGGGGGCCTCCATAGCTGCCAAACCATCTCTCTGGTTATCATTCTAGCGAGTGACTCTGGGTCTCAGCTTCTTTACCATTAACAGAGGAGGCTGGACCCAATTTCTGTACATTTCCTTCCAGTCTAGATACCCAGATTCAAGGATTATACTACCCCTGAGCATCTGGGGATGGGGGGACAAAGGGATGGTAAATCCTATTTGTTGTTTATCATGACAATGATGGCAACCAATCTCTCTAGGAATTCTATTGTCAGAACAGGCCCTGCAGGAGAAAGGAGAATTCGGACAGCCTAGACTAGAATGATACATACTTCCCATAATTATAGCTCATTCTATACCTAGAGCTGAGGTGATTAGGACCCAAAGTGGCCAAAGGAAATAGTGTACTAGCCCTGAAAAAAAGCTTCCTTTTTTGTGGCCAGAAACCATGACAGAGTAAAGGCAACATGGCTCAAAAAGGTCTTGGAAATGGAACCTGAAGACTAGGCCTGCACATTTAGTTATGTGCCCTTGAGCCCAGAGATAATCACTTTGTCTTTACGAACACAATTTATTCTTATTTTCTCCTCCTCCTCCGAACAGAATACTTTCATCTCTCACACAAGTTTTAATATAAGAGGATTATATAGGATGAAATGTTAAAGTGCTTAGAATAATACGTTTTGGGCATTTAATAAATGTTAACAGGTGAATTGAGACAAGTGAAAAAGAAAAACTAATCCTCCCTTTAAAAAAAAAAAAAATACTTTGCCAAGCTGAGTCAACTTACAGAGTGTCCTTGAGAAAGAGAGAAGTTTTGTTTTTTCTGGGATAGCTATATCTTTCTTCTTGAGATAACAAGGGATTGTGAATGAAGAAAGCTTGGAAATTAGTGTTTCTATAACACAATATAAATTAGATGTTGTTAACAGGAGCCAGACAAGTATATCATGTTTTGCTACCCGACAGAAAGTGCAAGGATTTAATAAAAGGTCCAAGAGTGCAATACATCCCCAATTTTTTAATAGGGTTATGTCAACACAGTGCTACATTGTTTAATTCCTGTCTTTTTTGTTCAAAACTAAGTTATGGGTTCTTCCTCAATGCTAGGCACTGTTCTAAGGGTCTTACACATATCTTACTTATCCTAACAATAAGCCTATGCTTGTTGTCGGTACCATCATTATCCTTGTGTGGCAGATGAGGAAACGGAGACATGGCAAAGTTAAGTAACCTGTCCCAGAACACACAGATAGTACACTGAGGATCAGAGTCCAGGCAATCTGGCTGCATGTTCTGTGGTCTGGCCACAGGACCGCTTCAGTACCTTGATCGTTATAACTATAGTTTGCTAAGTGACTATCTCCTATCTGCATTGTGTACTGTGTATGGCACCTTTACTTTAAGCCGTATAATAACTTAAGTGATACTATCTCTAGTTTACAGAAAAGGAGACTGAGACTCAGAGGCTTAAAATAACGTATCCATAGTCACGAAGCTAATAAATGGCAGATTTGAACCGTTTATCTGACTCCCAATCCTACCTTTCCACTATACTTGACGGCCTCTTTTTCAGAACTGGCTTTTTTACTGAAATAAGGCAGCATAAAGAACCTCCTTCCCCACACAATCAACCTATCATCCTCTATGTCTTTCCTTTGTTTGTCAGACTCAACGCCCTACAATCACCTCTTATTCTAAACATTTCTCAAATCCATTCTTCCAGATAAAGAAAGTGAAGCACCATCTACTTTTGTCAGAGTACTGCACTCCACGCCTCATGGTGCCAGGCATTTAACTGCGGCTCGCTACGCTTACTGCCAAACCACGGTGGCCATACTTCCCCTTTCTATTCATCTGACCCCAGAGTCTATTTTCTTGAGAGGCAAAGCCTCACCGTCAAGGTGAAACTCAGCTACTTCTCTGCACTCTTATCCTACTATTAATACAGTCAGCAAGAAAGATCTTTTTGGAAGGAGATGAGGGGCCCATATTTCACATCAAGTCAAAGCGCGCTCTGGGTTAGCCTTTATAAAAAGAGCAAGTGTTCAGGAGGTCTCCCAAATCTTTGCGGCTCCTCCCCTAAACACTTTAGGAATACCGCCTCAAGCATTACCTACTGGGCACTACAATGTTAAAGACATCGCTGGTGGAAAAGGGCAGCTGGAGAGGTCCACAACTTAAGCTCTGACAGCAGTTGGCAAGTGGAAACCAATCTGGAGGAAGATCAAGAAGAGAAAGAGACAAACTGCAAGAAGCAAACCTGGAAATCTAGTTAGTTTAGCCATAAAGGGAAGGAGAAACACTGAAGCAGGCAACAAGACCCAGTGAAAGGGCTTCCTTCTCTGTCCCTATAGAAATTTGCTATTTATTGCTGTTATCTGGTGTATACAGTCAGTACTGAAATTTGTTTACTCAACTCAAGGACCAAGTTATCTGCTGTACTTCTTTCTTTTGAAAATCAGTCTGTACCTGCCTCAAATCTTTTCTGCAAAGTAACTATAAATCAAACGAAATGAATATAACCTCCATAATATGTACATCGGCGATGAATTTCTAAATTAGGCAGCTATGCAACAGTAAAGCATACCAGAAAGTGAAGGAGCTAAGATATGAATAGCACTGGATCCATGTATCCGCCCAAAGAAAGCCGCACAGAACTAGAGAAAGCAGTCGAGACAGCTAGATTCAATTCCAGCCCAGTGTCCCAATGGTTGTCTGGATATTATCCTAAATTTTATCCTCTATGAAATGGGAACCACCATCACTTTTCTCACAAGGTTGTTGAGAAGATTACGATGGGAATGAGGGTGTCTTATTTACCCAGGATAGAATTAGAATACTGACACTTCAAAATATATGAAAGTGCAGAGGAAAGAGGCAGACCTATCAAACAAAGGGGCAAATTATGAATGGAAGCAAATGAAAAAGAAGATGATCTACCTAGGGTGTGACTTCTTGTTGGCTATTTTCACACAAAGTAGTGGTCATTCACTCCTGGAAATGTCTTCCAAAGAGAGTAAGGATGGGGGGGCGGGAGGGGGGTACCTCTTGAAGTGAACATGTAAAACTCCTGGAAGGCAAAGTAATGGAGAGCTAACGGTTCTTGGAAAGATTCAGAGAAGTGACTAGGACTTCTAACAAGATGCCCTTTTACTGCAGTTGTAAAATGGAAAGAACAACCAGTGGGTAGTTTGAAGATCTAGGGTGGAATTCCAGGTCGTAAGTGTAACTTTGGCCAAGTTACTTAACATCTAGAATCTAATTGCAAAACTTAGCCGAAACCTTACGAGAGTGTTGTCAAGATTAAATGAGATAATGGATGGTCATGGCACATATTTACGTACTCTTAGGAGTCAGGCTCCCCCCACCCCCCACTTACAACATAGTATGTCCACGACCTTGGCGTCATTTTGTTCTTGCCTGCTTTTCTCACCTATAAAATGGGGAGGGTGACACCACCTACCCTATGAACACCGTAGAATCAAGTGAGACCATGCTGGAAATATGATGCCTTGCAAACCGTAGCGTTACAGGTATATAAAGAGCTGCCGTCGTGGCTGAGGAGTTTTATGCATGTCAAGGGCCGTGTTTATGCAGAGAAGCACGTATTTTTCTGCTACCCAGGTGAGGAAGCCTCGCGTGCATTTTAAGCATCCAGGAGCGGGGCACAGGACACGCACGCACCTCCACGGATGCCGGGGGTGTGACCTGCACGCACGGGAGGAAGCCCGTGGCACCCGCGGCCGGGCCGGAATCCGAGGGGTGGGCGCCAGCGTGGGGGCAGGGGGATGCGGGATGCACGACCGGGAAAGCCTGGGGGCACAAACACGCATGCCCAAGCCGGAAACGTTTTCGGGGGAGAGCAATGCGCATCCCCGGAATGAGGGGGGTGGGGAAGGATGCGATGTGCGAGCCCCGAGGGCCGCTGGGGGGGGGGGTGCGATTCCGCACGCCCGCAGCCTGGACGCTTTACCTTATCGCTGTAATCCCGCAGGACCCGCTCGATAGCCCCCGCCTCGCCGGCCCGGACGATGTAGAGGGCGCGCTCCTCATCCATGGCCGCAGGTGCGGGGGAGCCGCGGCCGCTCTGCGCGCCCCAGCCGCTGCCTCCAGGTAAACGCCTCGCGCCCCCGCTTGCTCGCTCCTTCCCAGCTTCCTTCCTTCCCTCCTTTCCCTCCCTCCCTCCTGCTTCCAACCCGCCAGCCTCCGCCCGGGAGGCCCGACGTCACCGCCCCTCAACTTTCACCCCGCGACGTCACGGGTCCCCCAGCAACCGGCGCCTCGCAGCCGCCCCCGACAAGGCCCAGGACTCCACAGAGGCCTGGCGAGGGCCTGAGGCGGGGTCAGGCCCGAGGCCCTGCTTGCTCTCTGGCCTCTCTCTTCCTCGGACAAGAGCACACCCTTTTAAATGGGCTTCCACTGAGAGAACTGGTCTTCTCGTCTGACCCTCCTCTATGATTCATTCTCCTCAGCTGACGAGAGCAACCCGGCTCTTCCCTGACTAAGAGCCAGCAGCCTGCGGACTACACTTCCCGACGTGCAATGGGGCCTTCCCTGCGTCGGTCTCGGTTAAGGGAGTGCCGTGTGGCATGCCGGGGTTAGTAGTCGTCCAGCGGGCGAGACTTCCCGCCAAAGGCCTTCTGGGAACTGTGGTCCCGCGGGGGCCGGAAACGGGAGTCCGCGGCCGCCTGAGGGCAGTCGCCGGGAGACCGTTAGGGGGAGGGCCTAAGCGTGGCTTCTACCGCCTGTGGGTCGTTACCGGACTGGCCGGCCGGCTCGAGCGTGGAGTGGCGGGCAGTCGCGGAAACGGGCACTTGGTGGGCACTTGGCGGACGCCGGTTCACTCCCTCTTTCCTCGTGTAGCGGTTTCGGCCTCTTTGAAACGCCTTCCTCCCGCGTTTGCGGCCGCGTTGTGCGTTCCGCCGCCGTCGTGTGGGAAACGACCGGCAGTTACCGGGAGAAAAGGGGACTCGGCGACTCTGGCTTAATAACCACGCTGCAACGTACCGGCCGCCTCCGGGCACCGCACGCAGCGTTAGGTGGTTGCCATGCCGCCGCGATTTCGGGCGACGCGGAGGTTTCTGTGGGGCCGAAGGAACCCCAGTGGGCTGAGGGCTCTGTCCCGAGTCCCACCGCCGGTCACCGGGAACCCCGCGAGTCGAATCCGGGGGACAGCGGCTCTGCCGTGGCCAGTAAATGTCCCCCTGCCGCCTGACACGCCTGTGGTGGCTGAGGCGCCGGTGGGGGCCGAGGGTCACATTCGCCGGTGTTACTGTAGGCATCCTGCCACATGCTTTGCCCGTGTCCTCTCCGCTTCGCGTTCATTTGGCGAGCACCCCACCACCACCCCGTGCTGTTCCCTATGGAGTAGCCCTGGTGGAGACGACGCCGCTGGCCCTTGCCCTTCTGGCGCCCCTATTCTAGCCTTAACCTTAGGAGGGAGGTGCCCTCTTCACGAATAGGACGCTGATTCTTGCAGAGGTCAGGACTGACCAAGATTGCAGGCTTTGGTAATTTGCCCAGATGGCAGGGTTTGGAAACTGAATTTGAACTCGGCGCTCCTGCCCTTTTTGCGTCCTCAAGCTACTGAGAGTAAATGAATTCTCCAAGTAATTTCCACTTTGCCCTTTATCAGAAATCGTCTTTGATGCTTCCCCCTGTGGGCCTCTCCCCCTTGAGTGGTCCTGCACAGGAACGAGAGGTATCAACATTTTTCATCTCGTAATTATTGAGTTCCGTGTGTCAGAGATCATGCTAGGCTGTGGGAATTAAGTGAAAGAAAAACAAGAGGCTGAACTCATGAACGCTTTGGTCTTCTTACACTTTTCATGCAGCAAATATTAAGCATATTTGTTGACCCAGGCTTTGAGGCAAGTGCTGTATCCCTAGTAAGAAAGATTCCAATTTGTGTCTTTAAAAAAGCACATTTAGGACCCTCCCTGGTGGCACAGGTCTGAGCACTGTGAAGTTTTCAGCGGCAATCACTGCAGCACGAATTCCATCCCCAGCCCGGCAGGTGACCCACCTGGCGTAGCAGACCTCTCCTGTCTCTCCGCTGGCCCCCTTAGCAGTGTACTTCCTGGGTCTGCCTGTTCTGCTCTCCACCTGTCTCTGGTGAATCCTCTCACCCAACCCCCGCCCCACACCTCTGGCCTGTATGTACCCTAGTTCTTGTATGCATAAATAAATAATTTTTTTAAATATCTTACGCTAGTGTTTGAAGTGTCTGTTTACCAGAAATAGGCTTAGGGACAGCAAGCATGTATTTCTAAAAAGTTTTAGAAATAGGAAACCACATGAATTAATGACTTGGGAAGTTGCACTTTAGTAATTCTAATTAAATGCTAATACTCTTGATTTTTTTTTTTTTGACTCAAAAGGATCTTTGACTCTAATTCAAGTCATCCTTTTACCACTGATGAGACTGTTCCCAGAAAAATTAAGTGACTTGTCCAAAGTCAATAGTCAAAAAGCAGACACTGGGACTGGAGCCTAGACCAGTCAAATCCCTAGTCACTACATCGCCTTACCCTCCCCCTTAATATTTTCTTGTCATATCCTTTCAGTGTTTAGTCCAGCACTAACTCCAATTCCAATTGCTTCTTGCCTGGCATGGTACCAGGGAATTAGGAGTTGGAGCCTGGGTAATCAAAGCAACGAATATTTCTTCACAACTCATTGCTCTGAGAGCTATGTATAGTAATAGAACTTATAGATATATATCAATAGTGCTTTACTATTCTCAGAATATCTCCATGTGAATTAATCTGATTTTAATCCTTATAATAGCTGAAAAATGCCAGGTCAATAGGACAGGCACTATCTCCCTTTTATAGAGAAAAGGGAAGTTCAGGGTGTTGATTAGCTTGCTCATAAGCAGTAAGTCGGCTAATAAGTGGTACAGTGAAGGGCTGTAAATGCACAGAGCTCTGATAACATAAAATGTTATGGACTCTCAGGTCAGGGCCAATGAAAAAGCCTGCAAATAGATAGTAGTCATTTATTTTGGACTTTGATATATTCTGCTGTGGCATTTCCTCAGTCATGACAATGGGCTAGTTAGAATGTGCCAAATGGGTGGTATCTAAGGAGTGCCTGGTGCTAACAGCTTTTAAAACCCAAATCTCCCACATGCAGTAATTTTGGTGCCTGTCCTTTAAGAGAAAGGAGAAAGTTGGAAACTGAACTCGGGATAATTGCTTAGTTCCAGAATTAGGGTTCAGAGAATTCCATTAATTCAAGGGAAGACCTGCCACTCAGTAACCACCAGGCTACGGTGTGTAGCTATTCTCTCTCATCTCCAGTGTCCCTATCTGTAAAATGAAGGTATTGACACATCTTAGTTCTGCTTTAAAATGTGGTTGCAAGGGAAAAAGAAATCAGTGAATCCTGCATAATTGCACTTGCTGCAATCAGTGTGTACAAGTCACTGCATGGACATGCCTGTGAAGATTCTGAATCCATTGATCTGTGATGAGGTGTGAGTAGTGGTACTTGTAAAATCTTCCCCATTGATGCAAATAATCAACCAGAGTTGAGAACCCACTGAACCAACATTTTGGTTTTGTTTTTAGGAGGCAGCCAACCCCACAGATGAGCCAACATTTTGATATACCAATGAACTAGTTTTTTGATAGACTTCCAAACTCCTGGTGCACGTGACGCCTTATAGTCTTTGAGAGGTCAAAATGGCCAATCAAGATTTGGGACTTTTCATTTTCTGCCAAGAACAAAGTTTCCTTTTCTAGCAGTAAAATTACATGGCTTAGGCCCTCCCTGGTGGCGCAGCGGGTTGAAGCACAGCACTGAGAATCTGAAGCCACTTCCGCATGAGTTCGATTCCCGCCTGCCGCCTGCCACCTGCCCCGGAGGAGACCACATGGCGAGCCAGACCTCTCCTGACCCGCCCGCTGCTCCCCTCAGCAGTGTACTTCGTCAATCTGCCTGTTCTGCTCCCCACTCTGTCTCTGGTGAAGCCTCTCACCGTCCCTGAGCCTCTGGCCTGTACCCCAGTTCTGTATGAATAAATAAATAAATCTTTCAAAAAAAAAAAAATTACATGGCTTGTGCCTTTAACAAATATTTGGTGCTCAGGGGAGCACAGCATGCTTCGGCACCATACAAAATAATATTGAAAGTTCCTGCCCTCTGGGGGGTATCAGAAACATGCTGGCAGTAAAGGAATCTTTTCTACTGATAAGAAGAAACAAGTCAGACATAAATATTATACAAATCAGGGCAAGATAAACAATGATGGGGAGAAGTGTCATCAGAGAAGCCTTCTTGGAGAAGTGAACTAGAAAAAGAGAATAGTGGGGAGAACTAAGCCAGCTAGTAGAGAGAGGGGGAAATGACAGTAGGCAAATTCAGGAGGCCATGACAAACGCGATGCTTACTGAGAGATGATACCAGCTTGGTTGAACTTGAGAGTTAACAATGTCTTAGTGATCCATTGGTCAGTGGGACAAGTGAAATTGGAATCTGAGCGGCATTTCACAATGATGACTCATAACTAGACGATCCAACTACAGCTTACAACATGTTACATTCCTAAAAACATCTACAGTGCAGATGACCGAAAGGGTTAACTAGAACCGGGAGAGAGGAGTGCCCCGTCCACCTGTCCACCTGACCAGAGTCAGATCCTCACGCACATTTTCTTCCCTCCAGATCTTACTCATAAAATTAAGAGTTGGCTGGAGGATGCTTTTTGACTCCTAAAAAATTTTGCCTACTTGTTCCAACCTTTTAGCTCCTTTGTGAGTTTCCTCGGGCCCTCTGTTCTAATTGCTAAAATTAAACCCATTTGTTAGTCTGGGGCAGATGTAACTAATAGTTGTTCGATACTGATTACCAACATTGTAATCAGGACTCAAATTAAGCACACCAAGTGGGATCTGCCCTTTTGGAGTTTTCACTGAACCGCTGGAATGTGGGTCAGTCCTATTTGCATCTTGCTAGCCTGGAATCCCATGGAAACACCTCTGGGGAAAACCCAGAGCTTTGGGTGGCAATGCTGTACCGCGGTGAAAGAACCAGGGCTCGGAGTTGGGAAGCCTGGTTAGTTTTTACTCACCGCTCGAGTCTCAGAAGCTGATCATTTGTCAAACTCCTTAAAACCCTTCTGGCAACCAGTGTTGCTGTTTCTAACAGGAAAGCCTGAAAGC